TCTCCAAGTGCTGATGGATCGTATTGTGTGACAAAGGCAGTTTGGTGGGTGATATTTATAATAGTATTGATAGTTGTTTTATTATTAATTATATTACTTATAGTAATTGTCGTTATAATCAAAATGATTCTTGACAAATTACACAAAAGAGAAGTTGAGAAGACCACAACAATTTTTAAAATGAAAAAATCGAATATCCACTTTGAAACCCTTCAAGGTGGCATTTGTGTGTCCTCAAAAACAGTTGATTTTAACTCTGAGAATGATGAAATTCCAGTCAACACAGAAAGTCGTGAAGTTTTCTGTGTTGGAAATTTGAATGAAAATGTTGTCAAAATTCAATTCACTTTAATGTCAAACGTCGACAAATTTACTCTTCGAGTGTCGCCCGAGTTGATTTCACTCAAGAAAGGCTTTGCATGCGAATTTTCGATGTATTTGACGCCATTATGTACTTGTCAAATTATTAGTTCCATTCAAATTGTTTCCAAAAACTTGAAAACAAACGACGAAAAGTTCAATACAATCAAAGTTGTTGGTGTCACTGAAAAATCGACGCGAATTGATTATGACGAGTTAAAAGAAGATAAGAAACTTGGAGAAGGCTCTTTTGGAGTTGTTTACAAAGGAACTTTTAGAGGAAATGTTGTTGCAATTAAAAAGATGAAGAATTTTTCAGATGATGATAATTCGATGGAGGAATTTGTAAATGAAGTTGATATGTTGAACAAATTTCGCAGTGATTATATCGTCCACTTCTATGGCGCGGTGTTCATTATAAGTAAAGTATGTTTAGTCACTGAATTCGCACAATTTGGGAGTTTAAAGGATTTGATGCAACATAAAAAAAGCGAAGAAGTTGAGACGAAAGTTCGAATTAAAATGTTAGTAGACTCTTCAAAAGGAATAGCATATTTACACTCAAATGGGATCTTACACAGAGACATCAAGCCAGATAATATCTTAGTTGTTTCAATTGATTTGAATGATAATGTAAATGCAAAACTGACTGATTTTGGATCATCAAGAAATATTAATTTACTGATGACTAACATGACATTCACCAAGGGAATTGGAACACCTATTTATATGGCACCTGAAATGCTGAGAAGAGAAAAATATAAAAAGAGTGCTGATGTATATTCATTTGGAGTGACGATGTATGAAGTAGTTGGGTGGGAAGAACCATTCAATAGAAAACAATTCAAATTTAGTTGGGACATAGCCGATTTCGTTGTGGCTGGTAAACGCTTGGAAAAGCCAATGGATATGAGAGATGATATTTATCTTGTAATTCAAGAAGCCTGGTGTAAAGACAAGAACATGCGTAATGATATCAATTCTATTAAAGAAAGTCTAGAAACTATTTTAGATGTGTTATAACTTAAATTTAATGTACAATGGGTTTTACTAAATATGTTATGAAAGTCATTCTTTAAATTATGCAACTTTGTTTATAGTATAAGTATAATAAAATAATTTTGTATTTATGAAACAAAACAAGAAAACACAAACAAATTTCTTTAAAACTATTACTCTAATTAAAATACTATAACTAAATTACAACTTAAGTTGCATTATTTTTCTCAATTAGTTTTTTTGGGTTGCACCATTCAACAGCCTTCTGTTTACCATATTTTTGCAGTGAAAAAGTCTTTGAATCATTAGTTGGCTTGTTTTATTGTTTTCGTTTTATTCACATAATTCTTAACATCTGCTCCATTTACAATCGATACACAACGCTGTTTTATTCGGGACGACGACATTTTGCCAAACGACATTTTACCAAAAATTATTAAGAACTTTCTTAATTATTCTTTAACAAAGAAAAATTTAAAAATAATTCATTGTTGTATTTTTGTCAAGCTTTTATAAAAATATATTTTTGTCGACAATAAATAAATTGTAAATTGTATAAATAAATATATTTATATATTATTACAATTCTGCGTATTTTGTTTTTATTTTACGCTATCAAATGTCATTAAAAAAATATTACTTAACTAGTAACTTTGGTTATACATACAATATTTTGAGTATTTTTTAAAGCAACAAATAAAAATACACAACTTAACGTTCGTGTAAATTCACACATTGTATTATTGGAAAAGTCTCATAAGTATTATTTTTGTTAAAACAAAAATACTTGATTCAATTAACCAAACAATTTATAAACAATTGTTATCAAATTTATAAATAATATAATATTTAATTAGTTAGTATATAATTTAATGATGTATTTTTCAAAAGTGAATTTGAAATGCATTTTGTTTAAATAACCATTTGTATTCAAAAATGTATTTTCAACATGTTTTATGTAAAAATATACCAAATTTAAAGTTCTTTATTGTGTTTATATGATGTCATTTGCATTACTTCGGCTCTATTATAATCACTACAAACCGAATTATTGAAATTGAATTATCATTTTATTAACTTTTATTAACTTTATTTCATTAAAATATTAAAAAAATAATTGTTTATTTTTACATTTATGTATTTATATAACTTCATTTATTTTGTATTTTTTATTATAAATACAACATCAAAACTAATATATAACAAGAATGAGCATCAAAAGCACAAGGGGAAAAGAATTGCCTATTTATGATGGTTATTTGTTTCATGCTATAGACAAAGAAAGAACACACTTTCGCTGCTCTTGTCTAAAGTGTAAATTGACTATAATAAAAAACACAGATGGATGTTATCATTATGGCAAAACAACAACTCAGATTCACGAAAAACAAGATTTACGTAGAAAAAATCATTTAAATTTTATCAAAAATGACTTACAAACTTCACCAACAAAAAAATTAACAATGAAATCAGTTATAACAAAATACAAAAGAGGTTCTATAGGAATAACACAATCGACATGAGAACGCTTTGTTCAAAGAAACAAAGTTCACAAAAATGAACCAAATTCATATGATGATATTATAATAAGTGTTGGCGACTTCAATTTATTATTCAAAGATGAGCAAAATGGAATACTTATATTTGGAAATAGCGAACAATTGACAATGTTAGCAAGATGCAAAGAAGTGTTTATGGATGGGACTTTCCGTAGTTGCCCGAAACAATTTTATCAGCTATATACACTGCATTGTCAATTACAAAACAACCAAACATTTCCAGTAATTCACTGTTTGTTGAAAAACAAAACTTCAAATACATATGAAACACTTTTCAATGCCATTGAATGCTTGCTTAAAGAAATCAACGAAAATTATACTTGTTTTGGAAGAAACGTTGTTGTTGTGACTGACTTCGAAAATTCGATTATCGCCGTTTTAAGAAAATACAAAACTTTTGGTCTAGAGCACAAAGGATGCCTTTTTCATCAACGTCAAGCCATACGAAAGTTTATCAATAATGCCGGACTTAAATGTGAGTATTCTTTAAATACAGAATTCAAAGCTGCGGTGAAAATATTAGAGTCCGTGTGCTTTCTGAAAGAAGAAGATATTAGTCAAACAGTTGGTAATTTAACGGCGTGGTATTTTCATGTACCTTCATTTGGGATAGTTGTGGAATACTTCAAAAAAGTGTGGATAAATGGCGCGTTTCCCATTTCATTGTGGTGTCAATTTATGAGAAAAAAGAGGACTAATAATGATTGTGAGTCTTACCACGCCGCGCTCACCAGGAGGCTTGAGTTCGTAAAACCTGGTTTTTGGAAGTTCGTTGAAAAAATTGGAGAAGTGATAGAAGACGTTAATAAAGATCTAAAAAACATGAAAAACGGACATTATAAAAAATCAAACAGTAAAGTTGAAATAATATATAATACACTTAAAAATTTAACAACAAATTATTATTGTGGTGAAATCAATTTAAATTGTTTTCTCGAAAAGGTAAGTGTGTTATTTGATGGTTTAAATCATGAAGTTTACTTCGAAGTCGAAAATTGTGAACAAAACGAGACAGAAAATGTTACAAACGAAAATTGTGTAGCTTGTATCAATGAAAATGATGTTGATATAAACACTTCAACAAATGGTGATATGTTTGAACGTAAAGACTTTATCCAACAAACAAGACTTGAAAATAAAAACCCAACTAAAATTGTTGATATTCAAAATACAAAGAAAAAAATTATACGTGAAAAAAAGCCAAGAAAAAAAGAAGATCTGTAATCCAAGAAATCAAAAAAAAGTGTAGAAAAAACAAAAACAAAAAAATAATTAAGTAATTTATTTTTATAAATATTTTAATGAAATAAAGTTAATAAAAGTTAATAAAATGATAATTCAATTTCAATAATTCGGTTTGTAGTGATTATAATAGAGCCGAAGTAATGCAAATGACATCATATAAACACAATAAAGAACTTTAAATTTGGTATATTTTTACATAAAACATGTTGAAAATACATTTTTGAATACAAATGGTTATTTAAACAAAATGCATTTCAAATTCACTTTTGAAAAATACATCATTAAATTATATACTAACTAATTAAATATTATATTATTTATAAATTTGATAACAATTGTTTATAAATTGTTTGGTTAATTGAATCAAGTATTTTTGTTTTAACAAAAATAATACTTATGAGACTTTTCCAATAATACAATGTGTGAATTTACACGAACGTTAAGTTGTGTATTTTTATTTGTTGCTTTAAAAAATACTCAAAATATTGTATGTATAACCAAAGTTACTAGTTAAGTAATATTTTTTTAATGACATTTGATAGCGTAAAATAAAAACAAAATACGCAGAATTGTAATAATATATAAATATATTTATTTATACAATTTACAATTTATTTATTGTCGACAAAAATATATTTTTATAAAAGCTTGACAAAAATACAACAATGAATTATTTTTAAATTTTTCTTTGTTAAAGAATAATTAAGAAAGTTCTTAATAATTTTTGGTAAAATGTC